CTGGGGCAATGGTGGCATTTGGGCCCAAGATGCTGCCAAGGGCAATGTCTGGGTTCACGAACCTGCTGCTGCTGGGGTCTGTGGTGATGTCCATGGCTGGTGCTAGCATGGGGATCATTAGAAGAGTGGTGTGCTGAGGCAGCCCCCCCCTTCATTGGCCCTGGGATGGGTGGTCCTGCCCCTCACTGGATGTTGCAGCAGGCAGGCTGGTCCTCCCCCTCAAAGAAGAGCTTGCCCCTATACTTGGGAAAGAATGCCCTACCCTTCACCATAGGTGTGCACGTTGCTTGGGAAGCACACTAGAGCTAACTCTGTGGTGGGGACACAGGTGAGCTGACCCTGAAGGCATGAGAGCATCTGCCATGTGGTGGCGTGGGTAAGAAGATGCCCTCCCCCCTTCACTTATTACCTGCGGCAGGTGAGAGAGCTGGCCCTGGGGTCATGAGTAGGAGAGCGAGTCCTGACCCTCAGTGGCTGCAGTGCATGAGAAAGCAACCTCTGCTTCCAGTCTGGGCAGCACACTAGAGCTAACCTTGTTGTCATGGTCGCAGCCAGCCCTGAGGGTGGGAGAGCAGTAGAGCTGACCACCTACTATCCCCTCCTATGCCCCCCTACAACAGTCAGGAGAGAGGGTACTGCACCTTGCCTGGGCAAAACAGTAGAGCTGGCCTTGGTGATAGGAATGAGGGTCAGAGAGCAGAACTGTCCCAGCTCCTTGCTGTAGGCTGCATTGGGTGAGTGCTGTAGAGGTCTTCTGGGTCATGACAATGGAGGAAAGCTGACCAACCCGGCTACCACCTGGGCTCGGAACCAGGGCTACAAGTTGTCCCACTTGAGCATCCACCACATGTATGAACTGTTGGGACATGTGAAAGGGGTGAACCTACAGATCCAAAACAGCAGGATCTCTATGACACAGGACAACAGGGTATCTAAGAGGAGCCCCAGTGGTATAGCAGAGACCAGACCAGTGAACACTTGATAGTAAAGACAAAAGGAGCAGACGAAAGGAAAGGGGAAACTGGCTGGCTATGCTACAGCTTCCAGGACAAGATTCTTCTTTTCCTTTTGTTTTGTTTCTTTGTTTTGTTTGGTTTTTCTTTTAAATTTGTTTTTGGGTTTTTTTTGGGGGGGTGTTGCAAGGGCAGAGGACAGATTTGAGGGGACAGGGAAGTTAGTGGGAACAGAAGGCATGATGTGAAATCCACAAATAATAAAAATAAAAAAATAAGAGGGGTGAGGAGGGCTCATTGGTTAAGAACACACACTGCTCTTGCAGAGGTTTTGAGTTTGGTTCTTTGCATCTTTTTTGGGTGGCTCACAACTGCCTATAACTCCAGCTGTAGGATTCTCAAGACACCCTTTTCTGAACTCAAGTACATGGACTCATGCTTCATATACCCCGCCCCCAATAATTGAAAACCAGTCTAAAGAAAGAATATGGCTGGTGAGGTGGCTCAGTGGTTAAGAGCACTTCCATAGGATCTGGGTTTTAATTCCCAGTGCCCAGAGGGTGGTTTATACCATCTGTAATTCTAGCTCCAAGGGATCCAACCTTCGTCTTCTGCCCTCTTCAGGCACCAGGCATGTCAGTGGTGCATACATATAGTGCAAGCAAAACTCACATGATGGGAATGTACTGTGTATGTTTATCTTACTGATTGTTGAATAAAGTTCTGTGTGGCCAATGAGACAGCAAGTTAGACAGGACTAGGAGTCAAAGAGGATTCTGGGAAATGTAGTAGAGAAGTGTGATCCAGGCAGGATGTGACATAGCAAGGAGACTCATATAAGTAAGGAGAAACAGGAAGAGCCCCCTTTTCCCCTCTGCTGTTCCTCCAGCAGTGCAATGTGATCTACCGGCAAGGAGGGTCGCCAATAAGGCGTCCGATAAGATAAGTCTTATAACATATATAGATTTATGATAATTAAGACTGAGCTAACAGATCTGTAATCCTAGCCATTGGCCAAGCAGCTTTGAACCTAATACAAATCTCTCTGTGCATTAATTGGGGCCCTAACTCAGGCGGGCGGCTGGCGTAAAGCACACACGTGGCGGTGGGGCTCAGCGGCTTTTGGCAGAAAGATTTACCATAACACTCACATACAAGTAAAAAAAAAAAAAGTAATAATAATATTCTGTAATTGCAGATACAGAACTTCTTAAGAAGTAGAAATTAGAGGCTGGAGAGATGGCCCAATGGTTAAGAGCACTGACTGCTCTTCCAGAGGATGGTTCGATTTTCAGTACCCATTTGGCTAACAACCATATGTAACTCCAGTTCCAGGGAATCTGATGCCCTCTTCTGCCCTGCATGAAATGCATAAACATACAAGCAAACAAAACACCCATATACATAAAATAAGGTGTTTTTTAAAAAGTAGTAGGAATTACCATGCCTTCTGAGGTTCCTAATAACTTTTTCCTTTCTAACAAGATAAGTAACAATGTTGATTTTTGTATAATCTTTTTTCATTTGGGAACTGAAATATTTCAAATATGGGTAGATTTAATATTTATGAAAACTATTATACAATTATACTGTGTGTGTGTGTGTGTGTGTGTGTGTGTGTGTGTGTGTGTGTGTGTGATCATTATAATAGTATAAAAGAGGTTATAAAGAGCTCAGGGGTCTTACATGTGTTAGGAAGTCACTGAGCTAGATCCCAAGCCTTATAAAGAGCTTTTGAAAATTTGTGTATTCCCGTTTGTTGTTTTTGTTTTATTTTGTATTTTTTGAGACAGGGTTTCTCTGTGGAACCCTGGCTTTCCTGGGAATTGTTCTGTAGACCAAGCTGGCCTCAGACTCAGAGACTGACCTACCACCACTGCCTGGCCTGGTTATTGTTGATATAGGCTGTTATTTAGAAGAACAGGAGGGGCTGGGAATATTGCAAATGCTAACATACTTAGCATGTGCAAAGCTCTGATTTCAGTCTCAGCAGTGTGCAAACAAGAAACCCAATTGATTGTATTACTTATTATCAGCGGTGTCAAAGATCTGAGAGAAAAGCTTTCAGAGGAAGCAGAAAAAGATTTTATGTGAACTTATTACACTCTGTTGTAGATTTTCTTTGTTTTTCCTCTTAGGGAAATGAGAAATCAAGGGATAGAATCTGAGAATTTGTACTTTGTCATGTTCTTGACAGAACTGGTAACTGGATGAAGGAAGTATGGCTTAAGTGTTTGATAACAGCCAATGTTCTAGATGTTGGAAGTGTTTATTTTAACTATGCTTTGAAGTGGTAAAAATTGATATCAGGGACATGCCCAGCACCTCATAGTTCTTACTAGTTTTTAGCTCTGACTAATGAAGTAGGACTCTTCATTTTTACTTTCTTGATAGAGTTTGTTGTCTAATTCTCATTGTTAAAACAAGGAAAGTTTAAGTGAATAAAAAGAGTTTTAAACAATGCCTGTGGCTTAATTTTAGGAGTTAGTTATATGCATGTAGCCGTATACAAATGTGTAGGATGCCTTTTGTTTCACCTTCATAATCAGTGTATGAGGACAATAAGCATCTATAGGATGATATCTTGGCTAATTGTGGCAGCCCTGCAAATCCAAATTCTGCATGTGCCTCTGTGTGTGGCCTGAGGAATATCGAACTTTTCTTTGATGGTTTTTTTATAAAAATGGGGATGAGAGAACATTTGCCTCATTGAGTGGTTGGGAGATAAGAAAGGTTACTAAACATAAAGTACTTATGGGTTGGAGTAGCAGTGTGGCAAACGCTGATTGGTATGTTGTACTCTTTTGTTAGACTTTGATTAAATTACCATTTATTTGTAGGGAGATGTTCTTTCTAGAACCGTGTTTTCTTGTCACGTGTTTATGTGTAATGTGAGCCTTATTAATACTCTGTCAGCATCTGAGGTTGGAACATAAGTATGTGGTTGTACCCAGAGGAATCCGGCAAGAGGGAGAGCTAAGCACCGTAGCAACAGTTGCTATTTATGTCCTGCACACCAGCTGCCGAGAACAGGCTTCCTTTTTAATCCTGTTTTCACTGACAGTTTGGGATGTAGCCTTGCCTCAGCAAAATGATTTGGTTGAGGTATCCCATCTTTGAGATTTCATGACTACATGTTTGGGAGTTTTGTTTGTTTGAAAAAAGGAAGGATTAGCTGGCAGTGATGGTGCACACTTTTAATTTCAGCACTTGGGAGGCAGATGCAGGCCAGGCAGATCTCTGTGAGTTTGAGGCCAGCCATGTCTACATAGTGAGCTCCAGGACAGCCAGTCCTGTTACACAGAGAAACCCTGTCTCGAAGCCCCTCAAAAAGAAAAGAAAGCAAAAGGAAAGATTCGGCTTTGGAATTCAGTCAATTTCTGCAGTGTGGTGCAGTGGTATTATTAGTCACAGGAGAAACCATTTTCAATATGTATTGTGAGAGTTATGACTTACTAGCATTTTCAATATGTATCGTGAGGGTTGTGACTTACTAGCATGCTGTGGTTCTGCATAAATACCCATGCACATGGATTACATATTGTCTACTGTGGAGTTCAGAAAACACAAACTTTGTAATAAATGCGTCATTACTAAATGCTTTTTTGAGGTAGATAGCAAGCATTTCACAAAGAGTTTGTTTCATATTGGGTTGGATTAATATAATAATATTAATTTTTATTTCTAATGTGTTGCAGTATTTCAAACCTTATGAGGTGCTTTGAAATAGAAACAGCCCACTTTCAAGTCTTAGCTGTTAGCTTACCTAGACAGGACAAACACTATTCTGAATATGGGTAACGCCCAGATGAATGTGTGGTCTGATTGTGTGTGTGTGTGTGTGTGTGCGCGCGCGCGCGCGCGTGAGTTCGTGTACCTTCCAGTATAAACTGATGCTTAAACAACATACTTTTGTGTTTTGATTGTCCTATTAAGACTTAATAGTGTAAATATGCTATTTGGGATGATTTGAACAAATAGTATAATATATTGTGCTAATGAATTTATACTTGAAGGACTTAACAATTTAATATTTTTATTCTCTAGGTATTATTAATCCAAAGAACCCAAAGGAAGCACCGAAGTCCTTCAGCTTTGACTACTCTTACTGGTCTCACACCTCGGTGAGTCTGCTGCCTCCCTTTGCTTTTCTTGTCTTTCTTTTATCCTAGGTTGTTCCCAGATTCGATTCTAATTTTCTTAGTGTGGTCAAGGATGAGTTCTGTGTGTGTGTTTGAGGAAGATGTGTTAGCTGTTTTTATGTTTTTTTGAGGTAGAATCTCATTGCCCACATTGCCATTGAGCTCACAGTCTACACTAGGCCAGCTTCCAACTTGGGCCAGTAATCCTGATTTACCCTCTCCAGAGGTGGAATTACAGGTATGGGCTATAACACTTGGCTAATGAACTCCTAGTTCGTAAGTTCATTTTAAAAAATGTATTTATTTGCTCATTTGTGTATAGTGTGTGTGTGGTGTGTGTGTGTGTGGGTGTGTGTGTGTGTGGGTGGGGGTGTGTGTGTGTGGGTGTGGGGGTTGTGTGCATGTGTATACATGTAGAGGCTGGAGGGTGATATCTGGTGTCCCCCATCGCTGTCCACCATATTGAGACAAGGTTTCTCTGAACCTGTAGCTCACCGACTGGTAGATTGTCTAGTCAGTGAGCCCTAGGATCATCTAGACTACTTCTTAGTATTAGGGTTAATGATGCATGCTGCCATGGGCAGCCTCTATGTGGGTATTGGGATCTTAAACTTAGGTCTTCATGTTTGCACAGAAGCACTTTACCCCTGAAACATATCCCCAGCCTCTTAATTTATTTTAATTTTAATTTTTTTGTTTTTGTTTCTTTGTTTTTCGAGACCAGGTTTTTCTGTGTATCTTTGGCCACCCTGGAACTCATTCTGTAGACCAGGCTAACTTTGAACTCATAGCGATCTGCCTGACTCTGCTTCCTGAGTGCTGAGATTAATGGTGTGAGCCACCCCCACCCAGCTTAATTTTAATTTTTAAAGACAGTTTATTTGAAGTCCTGGTGTGATGGCACACACTTTTAGTCCAAACAGTCAAGGGACAGAGGCAGATGCATCTCTGCTAGTTCCAGGCCAGCCTGGTTGATATATCAAGTTCCAGGCCAGCCAGAGCTGTGTAATGAAACTCTGCCTCAAAAAAACAAAACAAAACAAAACAAAACAAAAACAACAAAAAAAGCCAGGTGGTGAGGGTTCACACTTTTTAATTTCAGCACTTGGGAGGCAGAGGCAGGTGGATCTCAGTGAGTTCGAGGCCAGGCTGGTCTACAGAGCTAGTTCAGGACTGTTACACAGAGAAAACCTGTCTCAAACAAAAAAACAAACAAAAACAAAACAAAACAAGAATATATTGAAGCTCCAACTTCTACAGTGCCTCTGTATGTGTGCGTGTGTGTGTGTATAAAATGAAAAAAATATGTGTAGAAGCTTCTTTAAAAATGTATAGTACAGTTTAATGTGGAAGCAGTCTATAGGAAAGACTATTAGTAAAATGCTATAACTTTTCTTCCTTATCTTTACAGCCTGAAGATCCCTGTTTTGCATCGCAGAATCGTGTGTACAATGACATTGGGAAGGAAATGCTCTTACATGCCTTTGAAGGATACAATGTCTGTATTTTTGCCTATGGGCAGACTGGTGCTGGGAAATCCTATACAATGATGGGGAAACAAGAAGAAAGCCAAGCTGGCATCATCCCCCAGGTAAAGCCGTTGAATGTTAGCGCCTGTGCCTATCAATACTTTCAGTCTCAAATTGCTTTCTATTTGCCAAAAATCATACTCAGAGACTGAAATGTAAGGCACAGAGGTAGAGACCTGTTTATTTCCCTCAAAGGTGCATACTGTTGAGAGGGAAAGATTGATTTTGTTTGTTTTGTTTTTCAAGACAGCATTTCTCTGTGTAGCATAATAGCCCATCGGTGTTCTATTGTTGAAGGAGAATAACAATTAAGAGCATACCAGAGTATAAAATTTTTTATTTAATATATTAATTGTGTTTAAGGTTTATGACATGTTCGTTTGGAGAGAGAAAAAGAGTATCTTTTTATCGCTGTTAATAATATAGCACTTCTCTGATTTGGGCTGTTCCTTCCATTCTGCCTTCCTAGTTGTGTGAAGAACTCTTTGAGAAGATCAATGACAACTGCAATGAAGAGATGTCGTACTCTGTGGAGGTGAGTGTAGCTGTCCTTGAAACCGGGGACTTCTGTATTTCTGTTCCTCCATTCCTTTCATTCCCCACCCCCTTTTTAAAGACAGGGTCTCTCAATGCAGTCCTAGTCTTAATGAAACTAGAATTCACTCTTAGACCAGGCTGGCCACCAAGATCTGTCTGCTTCTGCCTCCTGAGTGCTGGGATCTAAGGTATATGCTACTATGTCCAGCCTCCCTCTATTATCTCTTAAAATACTCATTTAATGCAGGTGGTGACCTTTAACCCAGCACTGGGGAGGCAGCAGCACATGGATCTCTTGAGTTCAAGGGTAGCCTGCTCTACAGATGAGATCCAGGGCAGTCAGGGTTACACAGAACAACCCTATCTTGAACAACAGACAAAATAATTGGGTTAATTAATTCAATGTGTTTGTGCACCAGTATACAATCAAGTGCCATGATACAGGAATGGATGTTGCCAGAGTTGACTCTTTCCTTCCACTGTGTGGATCCCAATGATTGAACTCAGGTTGTCAGGCTTGGTTGAAAGGATCTTAGCTGCTGAGCCATCTCACTGGGCCCTGTTGCTTATGCTTTTGCTTTTGCTTTTGCTTTTGCTTTTGCTTTTGCTTTTCCTTTTGCTTTTGCTTTTCCTTTTCCTTTTCCTTTCCCTCCCTCCCTCCCTACTTTTCCTTTTCCTTTTCCTTTTCCTTTTCCTTTTCCTTTCCCTCCCTCCCTCCCTACTTTTCCTTTTTTCCTTTTGCACTAGTCTGGAAATCACACAGAGCCCCTTGCCTCTGTCTCCCAGTTCTGGGATTATAGGTGGGAGTTCCTCACCTCAGCTGGAGCGTCATCCCCCATTGTGTTAAAAGGTTCTTGGTTGTAACTTTGTTGCTGCTCACTTAAAGCATTCCCTTAATTTTATGAGTTTAGACTGTTTCTGACTTTTGGTTATAATGAATAATATTGCAATTAAATTGTTCAAAGTTATGTACCTTCATTTTTGGATGCTAATATGTATCTTAGTTGTTAAGTGATACATTTGATTGGCAGATGGCCTTTTAGAAGAGAAAGACTATAGCAGTTTTCATTCTTCCAGGAGAAATTGGCAACCATTGTGCTCTTTTAAATACTTAGTATTTTTATTTTTAAATTTGGGGCAGGAGAGATGGCTCAGTGGTTCAGAATAAGGACTGTTCTTGTAGAGGCATTGAGTTCTGTTCCCAGGACCCAACCAGGGGGCTCACATTCACCTGCAGCTCTACCTCCAGGGTATCTGAAGCCCTTTCCAAGACTCTGGAGGCTTCTGCCCTCACATGCTTGCAAACATATGCTTATAAACATAATTTTAAAAATTACTATTTTTTTTGCAAATTTGATAATACATAGCTTTTTGTTGAATTTTAATTTCTTTGATTATTAGTGTATTTGATCATCTTTAAATTATATACACACTTGTTTAATATTTCAAAGGCAAGGCAGTTATATTCACTACTATATTACTAATACAATCACAGGTTTTTTTTGTTTTTTGTTTTTTACTCTTCACATCTGTTTTGGGGGAGGGTGTGACCCAGTGAGTTCAGCTGGGGTTACTTATAGGAACATGGGGAAAGATTATTTAGAGAAGCATGGACAACTTACCAACTTCTGTGATGCTGATGAAGATGTCTCTTCTTCCTTAGCAACCATTAACTATAACCAGGGAGGAATGGAGCTTTGTGGGCCCTGCCCTCCAGCAACTCAACTGCCTGTAAATTCTCAGAGAGTTGTGGGCCCTGCCCTCCAGCAACTCAACTGCCTGTAAATTCTCAGAGAGTTGTGGGCCCTGCCCTCCAGCAACTCAACTGCCTGTAAATTCTCAGAGAGTTGTGGGCCCTGCCCTCCAGCAACTCAACTGCCTGTAAATTCTCAGAGAGGGAATGGGGTTTGTGAACTCCTTCTCTTCCATTTTAGAGTGTTGGCAGGCCCAGTCTTGTGCAGGTAATCACAGACCCTGTGAGTTCCTGAGTGCAATGGCCATGCCACATCCAGAAGCCAGTGTTCTTCACTATTCTACCCTTCCCTCCAGTTCTTACATCATCCTGCCCCCCTTCCTTCATGTTCCCTGAACCTCAGAGTGGGTAATACAGATGTCCATTTGGACCGGAATGTTCGACATTTGCTTATTCTCAACATGTTGACAAAGTTCAGACTTGTGAAAGTTCATTTGGCTGATGTTATGAAACCAACATGTTGGCTTACTACTTTCCTATGAGGAATAACTACTCACATTTGCAAGATTAGCGTGTTATTTTTCTGTTGAAGTCTTGATCCTGATGATTTGGCGAACATAGGGTTAGAGGAAAGGGAATTGACTAGATAAATACTGTTTCAGGTTAGGAAATCACAGCATGATTCGTTCATCACCATGGCGGGCATGTCCTGCTGATAGGATAAGAGTTCATGAAGCATATTGTCTGATCTTCCTAAGTCTTCACAAGCCACTGTCATCTACAAACCTCACTCCTTCTCATGGATGCATTGTCTGCCGCAAACAACACTGTGGTCAGTCTTAGAGAACTAGGGACAGGGCTGGAGAAATAGCTCAAGTTAGAGTTCTTACTGCAAAGGAACCAAGAGTGGTGTGAACATGGAACCCAGCTCCGAGCAGGCAGGGATCGCCCGTCCACTCCCTGTGCCTCTTGCCAATAAGTTTCATGCCAGTGAGAGACTCCATCTTGGTTTCTGAAGGACACCCAAGATAAGATTTATCTCTGGCCTTCACATGCATGTCCACACATGTGTCCACCTACCACCACCACCACCAACTAATGAATTAGTCATTGGTCTCTTTTATTTTCTTTGTCTGTCTCTGAATATTTTTGGAGTTTTTAGTTTTGTTATTCTTTTTTTTTTTTTGAGATAAGGTTTCTCTGTATTTTAATACTGATTAAAATGTTAATTTCCAGGCTCTTAGAATAATCTCACTTTAAGCCTCAATACTAACAATAATATGCATTTCTTTTTCATTTTTTTATTTGTTTATTTCATATTACATTCCAACCACATTTTTAAAATATCAGTAAAGCTGGATGAGATGGTACATTCCTGTAATCTCAGCGCTTGGAAGGTTGAGGTAGAAGGATTGCAAATTTGAGGCCCAGTTTAGCTGCAAGATCCTGCTTTAAAGCAGGGGGCAGCGCTCATAAAGTTCTACTAGAAATTAATGTGCCTAAGATAAATAGCCAGTATGTGTACCTGTTTTGTCTTCCCTTTCTTCTTAAGAAAAGACTACTTCTGACCCATGTAGCCTGATATCCATGATACTGTTAGTAGAATAAAGGGCCCGGGACCATGGTGTTCTGATCTATAATTGTACAGCTTTTTATAACTTTTGTCTTTTTTAAATGAGACAGGACCTCCTTTTTGTAGTTCAGGCTGACCATTAATGTACGACCCTTCTGTCTCTGCCTCCTTCATACTGAGTCTTCAGGTCTGTATCATATGCTTAGCTTTGAAAAAGTGTCTAATGTGTAAACATCTTTTCCAGATTCTTTAATTTACTTTAATAAAATGTCCCTAGGTGAGCTACATGGAAATTTACTGTGAAAGAGTACGAGATTTGCTGAATCCCAAAAACAAGGGTAATTTGCGTGTGCGTGAACACCCGCTTCTTGGACCCTATGTGGAGGATCTGTCCAAGCTGGCAGTCACTTCCTACACTGACATTGCTGACCTCATGGATGCTGGGAACAAAGCCAGGTATGGTAGGAAATAGACTAATGACTGAGTCCTTGGCATATTTTGAGGTCCTTTTTTTCCAGTGTAAGGATGGAGGCCACATTTGTAGCTATGAATGTTGTTTTAATTGTAGAGTCCTTTGAGTCTTTGGCTATACTGCAGAGGTATAAGCTTCAACATATTAAGTAGCTGTCTTTTCATTAAAATGGTGATTGTTGAAACAGGTCAGAACCTTTGTTGAGTTAACTCTTAGGTATTGATTAAGTCCTGGTAAATTGTTAGCTGTAATGTCTAGATGAGGCTGTGGTAGTAATTGATTCTGGAATAAATGAGCACCTAATGCGGAATAAAAATTAGATGCTCTAGTGATTACTAAAGGGATAGCTGGGGTATGAAAAGTGATTCTGATGGGTGCCTTTGAGTTGTGGGCTAACTTGATGGGCTCACAAATAAGACAGAATTCAGAGCAATTGCATAAGTAGGTTTAAGGCTCTTGTTTGTGGTTGTTATCCATTTTAACTCTCAAGGAAGAATTCTCTTGTTAAACCATCACCTTTGTGTTTATTTAGGACAGTGGCAGCTACCAACATGAATGAAACAAGTAGCCGTTCCCACGCTGTGTTTACCATTGTTTTCACCCAGAAGAAACATGATACTGAGACTAACCTTTCCACTGAGAAGGTAGGAGAACTTTTGATCTCTTGTCGTGAGGAGATTTTTGTGGAGAAAATTTTGAGAAATTCCTTTTATGCTGCCACCTTCTGCATTTTGTTTGGACAGGATAAGTGTTGTTCTTTTACTTCCTAGAGGTGGTTTTTAGTTTCTACTCAATCATTTACCCCACACCCGTTTTTTAGTGTGGGTCTTAATGGAACTGAAAGATAGAAAACACATTTAAAAAATAATTTAAAACTTTGGGTCTAATAGTTTACTTATTTTATACAAGATAGTTAAGTAGTTCTTTCGGGGGAGGAAGGACTTTCTTCTAGACAGGACAGCAATAATGTTCATTGTTAAAGTTACTGCAGTGATGTCTGCAGGTGATTAGGCATGCATAGTATGCTTCATACCTTTGCTTGTTTGTTTGTTTCTGTTCCTGAGAACCTATTACTCAGAGCCTACTACATGGTAGGCAGACACTCTACTACTGAGCTATTCCTAGCCCCTTGTTTTCCTTTGTAGTTGTCTGTTTTGTTTTTCTGGTCCTGAGGATTGAAGCCCATCAAGCATACTAGGCAAGCTGTCCTGAGCCCCCACTGATTTTTATTTTCTCATTTTGTTAGTGGTTAAATACTGTAGAGCTTGGAATGAAATTGCTTACATTGAGTCATAGCTTTGCTACATCTTAGTAGAGCAAACTACCTTAACCTCCTTATACCTGTGATTTCTCCTCTGTAACAGCTTCAGAGGGCTGTTAAAAGGATTAAGTATTAATGTAGGTTAAGTGAATGTAATAGTGTCTAGCTCCAAGTAGCCACTCAGTATTTGTTAATTTTGTTGTTGTAATTAATAAACACCTATATGGTGATGCTACTTTAGCTCTGAAGTGGCATTCAGCTGTATTCTTTTTGTTTGGGGTGGGGTAAGTGGGGTGCTAGGAACTGAACACAGAGCTCCCTCATGTTAGATAAGTGCTCAGCCCTGTGCTGTATTCACAGTGTTGCAAACCTGAGTCTAGATTTACTGTCCTGGTAACTTAGACAGGGTTCTCTGTCCTTTGCCCTATAAAGTGAATGCTTTCTGATAGTGTTGCCACTAAAAGCTGGAGTCATTTTATGCTTCGTGGCTGATTTTTGTTTCAGCTAATTAGACCCAGGGTCTTTTGTGTTCCAAACAAGTGTTCTGACATTGAGCTGCACCTCAGCCCAGCAGCTTCTAAATAATCTCTTCTAGATGCTTTTGTCTAAACTGTCCTGAGCGGTTATGAACAATTTTATTGAGTTATAAAGATATGTAATAACCTATTCACATTCAAAATATAAGATTTAACCTCCTTTATGTTTCTGTTTTTCAAGAAGGGCTGTGTAGCCTGACTGTCTTGGAATTCACTCTGATTAAAGGTGTGAGCTATCCCTGCCTAACAAATTTGATCATTTTTGATGAATGCTTATATATGTGGAATAGTCAGGATGCTGAGAATTTCTGTTATTCTACAAAGTTGTCTCATGACTTTGTGGTATTTCTCTGTCCCCTTTTCAAAATCATCCAGGCAGGTGTTTGTTTTGGCATTCTGATATTTATTTATTTATTTTAGAAGCACTCTTATTTTACATATCAATCCCCCATTCCCTCACCCTTCCATCCTTCCATGCCCCCCCACCAATCCCCGAAAACCACCCCCTCCCCAAGGATAGTGAGGCCCTCCCATGGGGGACCATCAAAGTCCTTCACATCATTTGGGGGAAAGCCTAGGCCCTCTTTCATGTATCTAGGATCCAGGCAGCTCTTAATATGCTTTTTGTCAATATAGACTAGTTTTTATTTAGTATAGTTTTATGCACATGAGATGCAGTATATACTATATTTTTTGCCAAATTTCTTTTGCTTATAATGATTTTGAGGCTCATTTGTGTTACTATGTCGATAGTTGATTCCTTTTCATTGCTGACAAATATTTCATTATTTAATTCAACTGGCCCTAGGAACATTTGTGTACGTGTGTGTGTAGATTTGTTTTTGTTTCTTGTTTTTTCTGAGCACTTGTTTTATTCTTTAGTACAGTTTTACCTTGAACCTACTCAACTCCATGATCCTCTTGTTTCAGCCTCACAAGTGTTGGGATTACAGGTTATAGACACCACACACAGCTGGCAATTTGATTTTTTTTTAATTTATATGGGTGAATACTTAATAGTGGAACTGAGTCTTGTGTCAAATGTATGTTTAGCTTCTGGTTTGGGTTTTTCCTTTGTTTTGTTCTTGTCTTTTGAGGAAGGGTCTCACTATTATATAGTCCTGGCTGTCCTGGGATTTGCCATGTAGAACAGGGTGGCCTTGAACTCACAGAGATCCTCCTGTCTCTGCCTCCTTGTGCTGGGATTAAAGGCGTGCGCCACCAACGCCTGGCTGTACTTAGCTTCTTAAGAAATGGCTAAACAGTTTTCAGAATAATTATTGCCACTAGAAGTATATGAGACCTCTAGTTGTTCAATGTTCCATGTTTTATATGTCAATTTAATAGATTTCATGTGTGTGTGTATGTGTGTGTGTGTGTGTGTGTGTGTGTGTGTGTACATAAAGAGGTCACTGTGTGTTAAGACATGTCTCAGTATGGGTCTCTGACTGGCCTGGAACTTGCTGTGGAGACCAGACTGGCCTGGAATTCACAGAAATCCACCTGTCTCTGCTTCCTGGGTACAGGGACTACTCCTGTTTTTGTTGTTAAGTCTTGAATTTGGTATCACAATATAGAGCAGACTGTCTGAGCTCATGGATGATCCTCCTGCCTAGCTATCTTGCTTATATTTAATTTCCATGTTACTGTTCTTAGGTCAGTAAAATCAGCTTAGTGGATCTAGCAGGAAGTGAACGAGCTGATTCAACTGGTGCCAAAGGAACTCGATTAAAGGTATTTATTTTAGCAAAATGGTCTAGTCAATCAGTGTTTGTAACATGGGTTTATAAATTGGTTTATAATGGGCCAAATCTAGTTACGGCCTAGTTTTCCAAATAAAATTCTATTGATAGATAGCTGTAACTTTTAATTTATAAATTGTTTGTGGTGGTATTTACTGTTTTGACACAGGTTCTCATATAGTCCAGGCTGACCTAGAGCTTAACATATAGCTAGCATGAGCTTGAACTCTCTGATCTTCTGCTTCCACCAAGTGCTAAGATTATAGGTGTGTGCCACCATGTCTTTTTTATGAGGTGCTAGAGAGGACCTGGTGCTTTGTGTGTGTTAGTTAAGCACACTACTAGCTGAGCAGTATCCCTAGTCCTTCGTGACTGTTTTTGGGCTGCAGTAGCAGAATTGCACCATAGGCTATGTGACCTACAAAACCCAGTTTTTAAATTTAATTTTTAATGAAAAATTTCTAATTATCAATCTACAATTTCAACGAAATGAAAAGCTAAGACAACAAAATAATTAGGGAGGAGTTTATGATTAAGAGTGAGAGTTGTATTATATTTGAGAAATGGGCACAATCTGGCTAGGTGGAAGAGACATTACATTGGGACTATGATATAATAAGACACAGTGTGAGAACAAGTGTGACCTCCACAGAGATTCTGTTTAGTAAGGACAGGCCTTTCATGCTGGTGAGTTGTGAGAGGAAGGCTTGCTTCTGTAAGACTTGTGCCAGGTGGTGGTGTCACACTCCTTTAGTCCCAGCACTCAGGAGGCAGAGGCAGGTGGATCTCAGTGAGTTCAAGGCCAGCCTGGTCTACAGATGGAGTTCCAGGACCGACTCCAAAGCTACAAACAAAAATTCGCAACAAAAGCATCTTGAAGGCAGAAAGGTTTGGGAGGTGGGTGTGTAGTCTCTGCATATTACCAAGTGAGCGAAGGAAAGACCAAAGGCTACATACAGGTGTCTGTAGAACTTGAGTCTTAAAGAAGCAGATATGAAGGCTAAGGAGATGGATGGCTCAGTGTGTGTGTGTGCGGGGGTGGGGGGGGGGGGGGGGGGGGGGGGGGGGAGCAGGAGAAGCAGATATGCTTAGCTTGTAGCAATATGTGGTGTGCAATAGTAGAAATTCTCTGTTGTAATTCTTTCATGTTTGATGTTTTTTAGGAAGGTGCAAATATTAATAAGTCTCTTACAACTTTGGGCAAAGTGATTTCAGCCTTGGCAGAGGTGGTGAGTTTTCCATTCACTCTGAGAGATGCCTGCTCCTTACTGACACTTAGGCTTCTTTATGAAGGTGGTACTGTTTTTAGCCTTTTTATGTGGTTTTTAAACTTTTTTCAGTTAGGACTAGAGTATAATACAGCTTTGTACTGAAAGTAGAATGAAAACAACTGTACCTATGTAAAACTAGAGCAAAGACATAAAACTTGATTAATTTTTGAGCCTTATTTCATACCTCACAATAACCAAATATATTTTTGGAATAGTTGAATGATGTGGCTTTGGAGAATGATGTTAATTTATAAGCCAGTAACACATATTTTTTAAAATATAGTTATGTATAATTTGATTAGTTGAAAGCATTTTTAGAAATTTTGTCTTGTAGTAAGTAGAAAGAATATATTAAAACAATATGTAGGTGAGTCTCAGTCGCCAAATTGAACATAATTATATGTACTTGCATGCTCTATATGACTGGCAATATAGTAGGTTTGTTTCCACCAACATTTCTTCAAACAATGGATTGTGCTCCCACCTAAAGATAGCAATAATATTGTAATTTTTCAATTCCATTATAATCTTAATAGATCACCTTTGTCTCTGCAGTGCATATGTAAATTAAAAAGTCTTTGTTTTTGCAACATTGGAACAGTAAAGCTAAAACAAATTTTGCGTAGATTTTATTATTTAGTTTAAAAACCCAAAGTAGTTCTTGTATGCACTAATTTAGATTAATGGATCATTTAAATCACTTTGAATTAAATCTCTCCTTTTCTCTAGCAAGTACTGTGATTTCCATTTATTCTAGAGGCTCAGCCTGTGTTCTTTTCTCTCCTTTAAATGCTTTCATTTGTAGGATAACTGCACCAGCAAGGTATGGTGAGGATTGGTCACACTGAAGTAGCTAAATGATGAGCTCTGTGCTTTTCACATTTTTAGAGGATAGACAGGGCGTAAGTTAGGATAGACCCTTCAAAAGGGCTTGTTGCTTGTTTTCTGGTGCTGGAATTTAGAATGATTGCTTAGGGTAGTTGTGAATCAGGAGACTTCACACTTGGAGAAGGAATAGAATAAAGGAACAAGAGAGAATTTGAGGAAGCTTTTACATTGTGTCGTGATGTTTGCTCCAGTGATCTGTAAGAATGTCTCTTAATAGTTCTTTAAACTGCTCAGAAGAGAGTAAGATACATTTCCTTGTAGTCCTATTCTAGAGCATAGCAAACAAATAAGATAAAACAAGATTATATATTGTTAATATATCTATACCCTGTTTTATCTTACTTATTTCCCACTGTAGAAGCTTATGAGTAATTTAAAACATTTTTTTCCTATTATTTGGTTATACATAGATGAAGTAAAGGCTGTAGAATCAATTTAAACTTTAAAAAACATTTAAGTATTTTCTTTATTTTTATTGTATGTGTACCAGTGTTTGCCTTTAGGTATATATGTGACCACATGCATGCCTGGTGCCTGTGGAAGCCAAAAGAGAGCATGGGATTCCCTGGAAAAAATTTCTTTGAAGATTTTTATTTATTTATTATGTATACAGTGTTCTGCCTGCTGTCCAGAATAGAGCATCAGATGTGATTATAGATGGTTGTGAGCCACCATGTAGTTGTTGGGAATTGAACTTATGACCTCTGGAAGAGCAGCCAGTGCTTTTAACTTCTGAGCCCTCTCTCCAGTCCCTTATTCTTTTTTAATTCTTCTAGAAAAACACAATGAAAG